CTATGCCCCTCGCCGGGTCCCGGGGCTCAGTGAGGATGTCACCGCGGGCCCCGGGACGGGGGCGGGAGCGGTAGATCGCCAGAAGTCCCCTCGGTGGGGATAATTAAAGGCCTCGGCACATGTGGAGTGCGCGCCGTCGTCCGGGGAGGGGGCCGCAGACTCGGCCATTGCGCAGCCGTGGTGGACGCCGAACACGCCCCGTCGGGTGTCAAAAAAAAAAGAGCAACCGACCAGGCCAGACCGGGCCGGGCCGGGCCGGGCCAGCCGCCGAACAGACACACACACACACACACATACACAGACACATGCGCATGCACATCATACACGCACAGGCACATGCGCACGCGCGCGCGCGCGCGCGCGATCGGCGCTTCGGTCCTGGCGGCGGAGGATGGCCGGGTCTGATCGGCTCCGCCGGCGCCCCGCCGGCGCCCCGGGCCCCCGGGCGGCCGGGCTAGACGTCGGTCGGCCTCGCGGCAGGGGGGCCGCACCTTCGGGACCCCATGCGCCTCCGAGCTGATAGAGAGAGACTCCACACCCCGGGGCGGCGGGAGGGAGATAAGTGTGGTCGTCCCCCCTGCCGGCCGCCCCCCCCTCTGTCGCCCCTCCAGAGAGGGAGGGAGGGGAACGCGCCGACATCAACTCCCCCGGCGGGCCTCCCGCGCACGGGCGGACGCCCCCGGGGCTGGACGCGCGAAATACATCGTTTTTGACAGCCCCTGGCTCGGTGCGTGTCCTGCCGGCGCCCCGGCGGCGTGGCAGCCGGCGAGCCGACGGATGGCCCGGCTCGGCCGGGATTTTTCCCCTTTTGTTTCCCCCTCCCGCGCACATGCGCCGTGCATGTCCCCACCCACCCTCCAGGCCCGGGAGCCGAGACACGGCCGGGGGGGCGAGCGGGCGCGCGCGTCGGCGGGGCGACACACAACAAAAAGGCTCCAGCCCGATCTCTCGTCCTCCCCCCCCCCCCCCCCCCCCGAGGGCGCTCCGTCGCCCCGTGAGAATGGCCGGGCTCCAATCGGGGCTGGCGCGTGATGTGCCTCAGGCATCCCGTGCCCAGGCGCCGAGGCATGATCCCGGGCTCCCAATCTACCATGGCTCGTGCCGTGGCGCGCGAGCTGTGCGGGTGTGCGGGGACCAGCGCTGAAGGGCGGCAAGGCGGCGGCTCTGCCCTGTTCCGATCGACCCCCTACAACCTGGGCTGCCGCCGGTTCCGGCCGGATCTGTTGCGAGAATGAGCACCGGGGGCCAGCCGGTTGTTGTCGAGGTAGAGAGGGGGGCGGCACAGGCCGGGCCGTGTGTGCCCGGCCAACCTGGGCGCCTGGAGTGCGGGGGG